GGTCTCCTGTCCACCAACCTGCAGGAGAAGCATTTCTCTGGGCCTCAACATTGGTAGTCTGACGCAGGACTGCGGCAAATTCCTCATCTGAATGCCCCGCCCCTTCGGGAGGGGGGAGCAGCCACGCCTCCTAGAGGGAATCCTCCCAGATTCGGATGGTGATGGAAGCCTATCTTCCAGCTGCTCTTCTTGATACAATCTTTTTAAGGTTTTTTTTTTTTTTCCAGTATTATTTAATTAAGTAACAGAGTTCTTTCAGCATTTTGTGAAAATTGAAACTCTAGGATAATTTTTTTTTTAATGATTTCCTTTGTTACAAAATTTCATCAGATTTTCCTGTTATGGGCAAACTTAAAAAGCCTTTTTCTTAATACTATACTGAAATTTTAAACAGAAACTAAAGATAGAAAGTCTTAGAGGATATTATTCTCTGTTCTCAACCAAAAATCAATAAAAAAATATATTCTTACCCTTTTTACATTAGCTGTCCCAATATTTGGTGCCTTACACACAGCTACATCTGTAGGAGATGCAAGATAAATCCTTTTTGAATAATGAAAAAGGGTTTATTAACCCACATTTGTAAAGAATCTTGAAGGACAGCAGCATAAGCAAAAGTGTTTATTTAGTCTTTACTTATTTATGTAGACAATTCACTCTCCGGTCTTCATTTCAGTGGGTGATGAGTAATGTGACCAGAGAGCCACAAAAGACAGAGGCCCAGAGAGGAGCAAGTGGAGATGCTGCGAGGTGCACTGGAATAGACTATGCCTTAGGAGCCTTAGAGAAGCATCTCCCTGGCAGACAGCAGAAGAGCTTTCTTGGAGAATGGGATCTTGTTGGCTAGGCTAGGCTAAATTAGGCTAAGCTACAGTCACAATCACCAAAAATCAGTGGCTTTACAGAGAAAGTTTATTTGCCACTCTTGTACTCTAGTGCAGCCCGCCCCTGCTTTAGATTCCAAGGCTGCATGCAGCACCAGAAGAAGAGAGAGCTGGAGGATTGCATGGGATGTTTTTCAGGGCCAGGCCTGAAAGTGGCACAGGTCACTTCAACCAACATGTCATTGGTACAGCCATACTCACTTGGCCCCAACTCCAAAGGAGACTGGGAAATGTAGTTTAGTTGTTTGTGCGCCAGAGAAGAGGAAACTGGTGAAGAACACACAGAATTTCCACAGGGTAGAGGGTGATTGCAGAGGAGAAGGGCAAAGGGGGCAGATATATGGCAGCTGTATGAAAGTCTATACAGCTGATTCTCTTGGAGCCTTTGGCCTGGGATGTGCAGCAGACACCGTCCTTCCCTATATTAAGGCACACTTTGCATTACACTTGGCTAAATAGAAAGATGGCAGATTTAAGTGCAAATCAGACAGCCATGGCATCCTGGAATCCACACCTCTGGATTAGCTATGCTACACATTTTTGCACAGGCCAAATTCATGATAAATTGGAACCTGAGGAGAGTGCAATGCCATACCCTGAAATTGCATGTTTCCGGTAGGGCACTGGCTTGAATTACTTGAGGGGCCCAAGGCTCCTCCTCCATGCACTCTCTTCCAAACTATGCCAGAGGAGAGAGAGAACACTGCTAGCAGGAGCTCCCAAGTCTCTCACTCTTCTCCGCAATCAGGTTCGTGGCTCATAGTGGGAAGAGTGGACTTTTGCTGAGTGAGGGGCGCACCTACTTGTAACTCATTCTGTCTACTGCTTTCAGAGTGGGCCAAAATCCCTCAGACCAAGATTCAAGCAAAGAAACAATTTCTTAAGACGCTTGCCTTTTAACTGCATCATAGTTATCCCTCATCTCACCTCCACCCTGGGGTCTCTATGAGCATGGCCTGATACTGTCCACTAGGACTGGCAGGGGAGAGTCTGGAGATTTCCGACTTGGGTCTTTGGACTTTCCAAATAGGCTAGTAAATCCCAGCTCTGAGCTGTGACACCCGTGGATGTGTCTGGTTGCCTAAGTGTGAATTTATCACTAAGTCTGAAATCAAAATATAATTTAATTTGGTTTACATCATTATTTACAGGAGCAAGAGGGCTTTTTCCAAGGGGGGATTTTGGCCCAGAAGCAGAGATCCCAGTGCTGCCCAGTCTTTCTGTCTACCCTTTATTCTAAACTGACCGGCATTGCTGTGTCCCTTGTCACTGATGGAGGTGGCCCAAAAGCCCTGAGCCGGGACCAACTGCCATGTTAAAGGGGCTTGAGAATGGGCACATCTCTAGAGCAGATACTGGGCACTGAACTAGTACAGGCCCCAGGATATCTAAATAAAAGGGACCAGGGGCAACAAGGCAGTTAGAGAAACATGGCCGGGCTTGGGACTGGTCTTGAAGCAGCATTTCTATTATAGCAGCTGCACTGTTTTAACTACACTGGATCTTACTGGAAGGGGAGAAGGGGAGGAAAATTGAGATGGAGGTTAATCTTTCCCCCACCTCCGCCCCACTTTCCACCCTCTGGGGTCTACCCCTCGGTTCTCATTCAGATTTCTCTAGGTAAATGGTTGGGACAAATATCCATTCTAGTAGCAAGCCACGCTTACCTTGGAGCTGGTGCACCGTACCGCTGCCAGTGTGCACCCTCTGTCTCCACCAGGGTTAAGAAGGGGTGGTGGTCTCCTTCTCCTAGCCTCTTACCAGGTAAAGGAACAGAGGGAGAGGAGAATAATAGCACTGTCCCTTGCCTTGATTGTGTAAATGTGTGAGACTCTGGCCATGTTGAGAGGCCCCGAACACCTGGAATGTGACATGGAAGCAGCTTCCCTGGAGGAACAGATGGGACCACGAGAGCAAAAGACCTTTGCAAACTGTAAGAGCCCCGATGTAAGCAGTGCCCCTCCTCTTCATTCTAATGCACCATCTGCACCTGTTGTCGCTTCGTTTTGAAGCTTGCTCCTATTCCAGTGAATACATCTTGCCTTGGCTGGGTCCACCTGGACAAACCCAGGACGGTGTTCATATGTTCTTCTTGCCATTCTTTCTGGCAGCATCATCAGCACTGATGTTCTCACTGATGACATGAGGGTGTCTGAGACAATGAAACAGGCTCCCTACCTGGCATGGTGTTCGCCTCCCCAGGGCCAGCAGGGGGCCCTGTGACCTTGTGAGAAGGCTCCCTGACACCTTGGGAGGGAGGGCCAGTCCCAGCAAAATGAATGTCATTCCCAGGGCCTTTGATTCCCACCGAGCGGGAGCCGCCAACGAGCGTCCTGGCCAGACCTCTCTTCTAAGGACTCCCCATAGGCCTGGGGACTAGGTGTTGCATCTACGAGAAGAGAGGGAGACGCTGCTGGTGCCAGGTTGTTTCCTGCTTTATTTTGTGTGCTATGTGCTCTGCAGGGACCTTTTGAGCGTCTGTCACAGTCCTGCTTCTCCTTTCCAGCCAGGGAACATGGTGGGTTTGCCTCTTAGGTCCTCATTAGATTTTTCAGCAGCTGCTCCAGCTTTTCTTTCTCTTTTTACAGAACAGAGAACAATTGGAGACTTGCTTTCTAAAGAAAAAAGGCTGGTGTTCGAAGGAGTTTTTCAAAACTCCAAGAAGACAGAGAGGGATCCCATGAGAGCGCAGAGGGTACCTGGTCTTGGGCACCTCCAGCCAACTCCTCACACAGGAGATGGTCCTTGTCCTCCCAGCCCACTCCTCATTTCCAGTGCTTTTGTACTGGACCATTTCAGCTGTAGACTTGCAGAACTGGGCTCTAGCCTGTTACCAAAAAAAAAAATCCCCTTTGCGGCTAGACTGAATTGTAGTCTTCTAGAAATTCTCCAGGTGTGTGTTTTCTGATTTAAGGGGAAAAACCAGCATCTGGAAACTCGGTGTGTTCTGATGTCTGCTGGCAAAGAGCAAATTGACACCAGAGTAAGTTATTTCTCAGGTATATGGTTATTTCATCCTTGTAAATAGTTCCAAAGGGAAAAGGTGTTTTATTTTAAGGAACACTTTCAAACCTATTATATGAGGGCTGCTGAGTACCCAGCATCTGTGGTCAGAGGCCTGGTGATCTGTTTGCTGTCATTCTCTGCTTTTTCATTGGTGCTTTCTGGAGGACAGCAGGTTGAGGATGAAGGAAGGGTCAGTTCCAGGCTCAGCTGTGGCCTTTAGTCAGCTGCAGATCACTTTGATGGGTAATTCAGGGAAAAAAAAAGTTGACCTGGGTCATGCTTGGTTACAGCCAGACCAAGACCAAGATGACACAGTGATACCATCATAATCCCAGATTTAATATAATTTTCATAATTGCATATTAGTACTCAAGACACTATAGCTAGAAAAACAGCCCCCAATGAGTCATTTTTGCATCAAGTGTACTCGTAGAGATCATTTTTCATGATTCCTCAGTGGTCCCAGCAATTATGTTCATTGAAAGTACTGTTGTGAATGTAACTGGGACTCAGGCACAGGAGGAAAAATAACCTAAGCTTGGTTCTTTCTTCTTTTAGAGTTTGCAAATTTTGACCAACAGACATGGTTAATAAGACTATGCTTTGAAAAAACCTATATTCTATATTTATTTTATTTTTAAATTTTGTTAGTGACAGGGTCTCACTATATTGCCCAGGCTGGTCTCGAACTCCTGAGCTCAAATGTTCTTCCGACCTTGGCCTCCCAAAGTGCTGGGATTACAGGTGTGAGTCACCATGCCTGGCCTAAGACTATACTTTAAACAAACTTTTTAAAAAAGTGGGTTGATACATTTTATAGATGTTCATTTAATATACAACTGTTTTAGGAAAGCGATTCCAGGTCAGTTTTCTGAAATCTGTGGCAACAAATGTGTGGATATATCAGAATTAGTATTTGTTTTTATTAAAATATATTCCATGTGCCTTTTGATTCCTTTTTGATGGAAAGGTATCTTACACTTTCATTTGTGTGTATATATGTGTATATATATGTGTGTGTGTGTATATGTGTGTGTATATATATGTGTGTGTATATGTGTGTATATATGTATATATGTGTGTATATATATGTGTGTATATTATATGTGTGTGTATATATATGTGTGTATATGTGTGTGTATATATGTATATATGTGTGTATATACATGTGTATGTGTATATATATGTGTGTATATATATGGAGTAACAATTTGTTGATTCTAGTCAACTGCCTTTGACTACCTGGGTCGAGCAATTTTCCACCAGATAAAATAACTTTTCAAAGCCTTCCTTCTGCTTCCCTTACTTTCCAGCCTGTACCCTTAGTACATAATTTGTAAACATTGTCATGGAGGGTCCTGATGCTTTAATGTATGCAGACTAAAAGGATATACAAAATTAACCACATCTAAAAGTGACCAAAGCAAGTCTACCCCCTTGTAAAATTATAGAAAGGTTTGCCTTTCAGTACATTAGATCTGCAGCTACATTAGTTGTTTCTGTGTCTTTAGATTTTGTGAAAGGGAACTGAAATCCAGCAAGTCGTATTAGGAGCCCATTCAGAAAATGAACAAAAAAGCAAATGAAAACGACCCAGAATGAGGTGGTATATTTTTCACTTTGCGTTTTGTAGACATAAGTCCCTTCTTTATAATTTGCAATTTTTTCTGAGAGGTGGTGGATTTTCACTTCAGAGGCAAACAATATCATGACAAGACAGCCACAGGAGCCTGCAACAGAAGAAACAACATGTTGGGACAAATATTTCCTGACTGTAAGGGCCAGGGAAGAGGGTCAATGTGTAAACCAAGGAAATCTCTTACCATCATCCCCATTTACATTCTCCACAAAAAAAGTACTGCGTATTTGTAATCATGAGCCTGATTCTTCAATCTATAGGTAGTAGTGCTTGGGTTATGGTTCTGCTCTGAGTGAAGAAGATCTGTGTGTGTGTGTGTAGGAGTGCAGTGGGGGGTAAGGAGGTGGTTAGAATTACGCTGATCTTACAAAGACTGGGAGATATTCCTCTTCACATGATGTGAAGGCTGAATTGCTAGGCACTTTAAAGGCATAATGGTGGAATCAGGCTACAAAGCAGCCACTGCTATGATGTGGCTTCAAGAGAAAATATTTCTCTGTACTTCACAGCCATGCAGGATAAAGGCCAATCATGCGACCTCTTGTGAAAGGCCCCGGGCCTCCCTTCAGAAGGGTTACCACGGCTCCTTCGGCTTTCACTTGGCCACAGCAGCACAAAGGAAAACCTGAACAAAGGTAGCTATGGATAAGGTGTTGATGTGGCGCACATCTCTATTCTCCTTGTTTGTAACAGAATTCAGATTTTTAGCTAGACATGTGAGTGTCTTGAATTAAGACGGCATTGTTCAACTAAGGGGGTTGGGATGTATGGGTGAGAAAGTCTTCTTGAACTATACAGGTATTAGGGGCCTGTCCTTTCTTCCCTGCTTCCTCCTTGCTGTGGCTGAAATATGGATGCAATGGCTGGAGCTTCAGCATACATTTTGGACCAATGTGGCCCCAGAAATGGAAGCAATACACTGTGGAAAAACAAGAAAGAAGGAGTCTAAATCCCAGATCTTGGAGTCTCTGGACCAGCCCTGGACTTCAACCTCTAGATTTTTATGTGTAAGAAAAAAAAAACTTTTATTTAGTACACTATTATTATTTTTCCCCCTCATCTATTACTCATTGGTAGCCTAATCTTAACAGATGTAGCTGTGATTTGGGTGAGATTGCTGTGGGACAGGGGCACTCCATACTGGCTGGAAGCTGGAAGCTCTGGTGAGTGTCTCCCCTGAAGATGGACAATGGGAGATTTCCAGATGGGTGGATGGCACAGGGAGCAGAAGCAGGTGGCAGGAGGGACCAGATCAGGAGCACATGGGATGACCAGGACTTCACAGCACTTCCACAGCCACTGTTATACCCCAGGTCACCACAATAGGGTTCCAGTTAATAGGAGACTTGCTGGGATAGTTTTCTGCCTTAGGTGAAACCAATTTGGGTTCAAACCCTGATTCTTTTACTTATTATGCAAAAGTAGGCAATTTTAATATTCAGGTCTCAACTTCTTCATCTATAAAAGGTGGTTAATATAAATAAAGCATGATTTGCATTTGGCATTGTAATTGACACATATAAATGCTTACTAATTGGTAGCTATTCGTATAGTTTTTATGGATTCCTCTTTTCTTGCAAGTCCTTATCATAATAGCTTGATTTAGGTCAAACCAATTTGGTTTCAAATCCTGATTCCTCCCCTTACTATGTCAAATTAGGCAATTTTATTTCAAATCCTCAGCCCACCCCATATCAGGAACACCTGACTACATCAGGGTAGGCAATATAAAAGAACATATCACAGTGTCTTTTTTTCCTCCAGATACTCTTCCATTGATTTTTTTTTTTTTTTTTTTTTTTTGAGACGGAGTCTCGCTGTATTGCCCAGGCTGGAGTGCAGTGGCCGGATCTCAGCTCACTTCAAGCTCAGCCTCCCGGGTTTTTACGCCATTCTTCTGCCTCAGCCTCCCGAGTAGCCGGGACTACAGGCGCCCACCACCTCGTCCGGCTAGTTTTTTGTATTTTTTAGTAGAGACGGGGTTTCACCGTGTTAGCCAGGATGGTCTCGAACTCCTGACCTCGTGATCTGCCCGTCTCGGCCTCCCAAAGTGCTGGGATTACAGGCTTGAGCCACCGCGCCCGGCCCTTCCATTGATTTTATGTCTCCTTTAGGACAGGTGAATGCTTTTTACTCTTCAGTTAAAGTTAATCCAAATATCCTAGGAATGGCAACATAATGGCTTGAGTTTCTTTTCATTAATTCACTCATTCATTTATTCATTAGACTTATATAGGGGACAGTTGTGGAGATTTAAACATTAAAGAAAATACACATGGTTTCTGCTGCCATGGAGTATAATTGGGCAGAGGACATAAAATCAATTACTAACCAATTACAGTGCATGTAATCAACGGGTAGTAGGGAGGCTGTTACTGAGAGGGTGGGCAGCATCATGGAAGTGTCCTTAGAAGCAGCCAGAAGGAGCTGTAGGAAAAGTTAGCTGAGCAGAGGGATGCTGGACTGTGTGGGGAGAGCGTTGCAGGCAAGAGGAGCTATCATGCAAGTGACAGCCCCCATTCCTTTCCCAAAGGTCAAGCTGGGTTTGGGGTAGAGGTAGAGATTGGGGGGTAGGAATGAGGGGAGAGGTGAGCAGAAAAGGCGACATCACATTTCTTCTACTTTAGAATTTCACATAGAACTGGCCCATCAGTTTAATCATCATCAAATAATTGCATAATGTAATTTTCTTGAAATTTCACTTTCTACTATCCTCAGAGGGGTAGCTGAGAATATTCCTTTGTAAAATTTTGTCAGCCTATTTTTGTATTCTAAGCTTAAAACCAGTGCTCTCCCCTGGCAAAACCGTATTATTGCTTTATTGTTAGATCCTAACAAAAAGGCTGCAGTGCTGTTTTCTCTTTATCTTTTATTCGAAAATTGTGGAGAAAATGCCACTGCTTTTACCATAAGAGCCTTCTTTGTCTGAGGAGATGGTGAATTTCAGACAGAAGTGAAACACTATTTCCTGAGCACCTGAAAGGAAAATTCAAGCTCGGTTTCCTTTTCAAGTTGTTAAATATTTTAAAGGTAGTACTTTGTTAAGGAGACAGCGTTACAGCAAGGCTGTACTTCAAATTCTGAAAGTAAAAGTTACTTGGGGTGTCATAAGACTCAAAGCCTTTTGCCATAGCTAATATTTCAAGCACACAGCCCCCAAAACAAAGTGTGCTGTCTAGTAGTAGAGAGGACAGTCTGAGATCTTGCTCTGGGTTCTAGGGTTGATCGCGAGGTCAGCATCGTCGTTTCAGGGCCAGAGGATAGAAACCCAGCCTGAGTCTCATAACCTTTCAGTGACTGCTAAGGGATAAGAGAAATGAAGGGAGACAACTCAGTGTGAACTTGGGATATTTTTGCTTCTCTCTGTCCATAGCTCTAAAAAAGACATGGGATCAAGGATAACTATTTATGACTTATGGACCAAAAGATACACATGAAGAGTTTCTCTTTGTGGCATGGCTGCTAAGGCTATAAAAGAAGTGTGTAAGGGATATGAGTGATGTGAGAATAGGACTAAACCTACCCACTTCCAGTATGACCCTTTGAATCCAGCAAGAGGGGCTCCTGCTTTGTGCCCCACATTTAAAGGGTTCTGCTCTGTCTCTCTTCTGGAGAAGTTCCTTCCCATAGCACAAGGAATCCTTGAAGTCAATAGAACATACCCATCTGGGGTGCCCAACTCACATTTTAGTCCATACTCCTGGGACCCCAGAATTTACTTCATAAATAGCCCTGAGCCCATTTTCAAGGCCTATGTGGTCATCTCTCCTGGGTCAGTCCTCTCAGGGTCAAAGGGTGGCTGAGGAATAGCTGTTTCAAGAGGCATGGTCAGAGCTTGGATACATGGTACAGTGTCCACACACATATGCTTCAGGTTCTTTACTGTGTGCAGTGGAGCCAGGCAGGGGAAGAGAAGTGGGTTTTCATTCATACTCTTGCCCAGGACTTCACAAATGGTAGGATCAGTCCTACATGTCTCTCTCCTCTTTTTCCCAGTTATCCATGTACACCAAGAGCCCAAATCCACGTGGTGCCATTTGGACAGATTCCTTATGTGTCTGTCCATCTGACCAACACTGCTCCTGCTCCCAAGAAAGGTTAGAATAAACCAGGACTTTGAAAAGCCTACCAAACCTTGCTGGAGCTATAATTTGGAGTATAACCAGGCACAAGGCCCAGGTTTTGCTGCCCAGTGTCTTACTCAATGACCTACAGCCATTTTTCCTTTCATCTGTCTGATTTCCCCACCATCTGGCTGGTGCTGTAGGGTTTTTTTCTTCCTTTTAATGACTTTGATTACTGAGTTAATTTCTGACTGAATAGGATAGCTGAGTTATAGGGCTGTCACACCATGAATGATCAGTCAATTAACAAACGTTTGTAATGTGCTAGACACTGCACATTCATGACTCTCCTCTGACAGCTGTCTGAGACTGCAGAATTGAGCACCGGTCTCCTCTAGTCCTTACTATATGTGAACGTAGGACACAGCCATTGAGAGTTGCTTCTTCATCCCTGCGTGACCCCAAGGGCATCTACGCTTTTATGAGTGGGAACACCCTCCCAGGATCTGTGAGAGTCCAGAAGTACTATGGGTTTGGGTCCTCGAAGGGGAAGAAATCTCTGAAATGTTATCCTATTATCAGTAAGATCATATTTTGGGAAATAATAAATTGGAATTTCAATTCCATTTAAGGTAATGATCAACATTTTCAGAAAGCTTTCAACACATCATCTTCAATTGTCTTATAGGTGACAGATATTAGGAGCATTTCATTGCCAGTATAGAATGATAAATTGATAATTTCCTTTTCAAGGACTTTTGAAAGATGATAAATGGGTGTGGGAAAGCCACAACTTTACAAGTGTAGGTGTTAATTTTCTCTAAAATCATGCAAATGTCACTTGAAAGTTGGTAATTGAAAGTAAGGTCACCAGCAATGATTTCTTCCCCCAATAGAAGTTGTTCTGAGTCTACACTGCTCCAGAGACTGATGGCTACCATCTAGAAAGGGACAGAGAGACAAGTGAAGAAAGTTAATACCAAAGAGTAGATTTTGAGATTGTGATGGCAAGCAATTTGGTCATGTG